ATGGAGCACGCTGATTAGCGGAAGCATTACTCATAGGAAAAGGCGAGAGGGATAGGGAAAAGAGCGCGGCAAGGCGAGCACTCAATCAAGTGAAAAATGCAAATGCTAAAAATACCAACAAAGGGGGAAACTGCGGGACCATAAAAGCGGATAGCAGCTGCAAGTGTCGGATCTTTGATGCCCCGCTCCGCTCCAGTTTTTATCGCTCAGCAGCCCACTGCCCTGCCCGGCCCCCCTCATCGACGCGCTTAGTGTTGCATTTATTGCGCTTGTTAAAGGCGGCTAAAAGGGAAACGCGCGAGCGAGTGAAACAAGTTAAAAAGTCATAAAATGATATTTATTTCATTTCGTTGCCGCGTAATGCGGCACTATCAGGGTGGCGGACCAGTACTAAGACCCTGGCTGTGGCAGTGGCAGCAGCAACCATCAGCAGCCTCGCGGGTGGCATAAGCGCAAGACCCTAAGACGATGATGAAGCAGCGGCAGGAGCAGCACTAGCAGTGGCAGTGGCAGCTGACACCAGAGCGGGAGACGCAGAAGTTCCGTAGATTTGCTTTTTATTTGAAATTTATATTCGAGCTGCTGCTCCTTACCCCTGCCCGAGAGAACAGCAGCACCCCACCATGGGGCTTGGGGTGGGTTCTGTGCTCTGTTCTGCCTTTTCACACAACTATTTTGCCGCTTTTATGGAGTTGAAGCTTTGACTTTTTGCCAGAAGAGCAAGAGCAGAGCAGAGCAAGAGCAGAGCATCCCCCCTTCTCGCTGACCGGCAAATGGGGCCACTGGAAATGGAAATGGAAATGCGCCATCGTTGTGGCTTTTTAATGTTTTCTTGTTAAAGTTTATTGAAAAACTTTGGCCAGTCACGTTTGAGTAGTCAGCGGGCGCGCGCACAGTGACTTATAACTCTGAATACCCTACCCGTCCACCAAATACACAAGCACATCCTATTTGTGTATATGTAGATGTGATGCGTATCTACCCCATCACACCCCCCCCCCCCAAACCAGAAAGGAAACAGCTGCATGAGTGCACGCCCCAATGCCCATGAAAATGGAGCAAAAGTGATTTTTTCTGTTTAATAAAGAAACAAAATAGACAAAAAAAAAAAAAAAAAAAAGAGAGCAAGGAAACTTGCAAATATTACTTTATCTATTCGTTTGCTGCTGTGGGGGGGGGGGGCAGTGAGCGGAGAGGGGCATGGCATGCTGTGGGGGCGTGGTCATGTTTGTTCATAATTGAAATTTCGCGCTAAACAGGATGTGGCCATTCCCAGCGCTTTTGTTGCGGCCAGTTGTTCAAGTTGTTCTAGTTGTTCGAGTTGTGTAGAATGAACTCGTGCTGAAAGCTTTTCCCACCAAGTGTCGTGGGGGGGGGTGGGGGCAGCATTGGGTGCTGGCTGCTGGCTGCTGGCTGCCAGCACATGGCCAAGTGGCAGTGCCAAAGATGCAGTTCATAAACAACAAAGCAGAAGATGCGAAAATGCAATAATATTTATGAGGCGCGCACTCTGTGTGTTGGGGGAGAGCCGACGATGGGGCAGGAAAGTGCAAAAGAAAATTAAGAGCACAGAAAATTCGAAATGTGTGCGAAAAACATGGAGAATGGCGTGGAGTGGAGTGGAGAGAAAAGAAAAGTGCCCCTGTCCAGGGAATTGTCATTGTCTTCGCTTACAACATATCTCAACTGCCTCTTGCCTCCATTGCCCCCCTGCTACTGCGCCCTTCCAACCATTGCAACAATGGAAACGGAATGGAATGGAACAATGGAGTTGTCTCAAATGGAACTTTAACTGAAAGTTGTTCGATTTGTGCCTCCCATCGATCCGTTTCCGTGAAGGTTGCCTTTTATGATTACAATTTCTTCGAATTTAGTGCCCTTTTTTATTCGTTATTTTGCCTTCAGTTAGACTCCTGGATCCCTTTCGTGTTTCACCTTGGGTGGACATTCTTTTGCCAGCACCTCCCTGCCTCCGGTTGGAGGCACTCTCCTCGATCCCATTTATTTTTCACTCTCGTGTCGCTGCCGTCTGCCCCCCCGTGCACGTACTGCACAGTGACATGTGCTTCCTCTGTTGTATTTTTGTGCCCCACCACGTTGCAGCATGCAACCCTCCCACCCCCAGTAGCTGCCATGTTCAGCATGTGAAATTGAACTTTGCATCTTGCTGCGTTGCGTCGCATCGCGTCGCGTTGCAACTCCAGAGATACTTTTCATTTTCCAGCGCCGATGCTGCCGCTCCTGCTGTTGCTGCTGTTGCTGCTGTTGCTGTTGCTGCACTTGACTTGTGGCGCTGCTCCTGCAGCCAAAACACTGCTCGCTCCCCTCTCTGCTGCCACACATCACTGTCCCCTGCCACATGCTGCCCCATCCATTCTGACCGCCATGCAGCGCCGCTTATGACGCTGTTTTGACACTGCGAACGCGCGCGCGTGTTTATAAATAAAATATATATGGAAATATGGCCTGAGACATATTCCAGCGCCCTCTGCGCCACTGCATGGAATGGCAGAGGACTGCTGCAGCATGTGTCGCTGTCGCTGTTGCTGTTGCTGTGGCACCCTTCTCGACCGCCTTTCCTTTGAAGTTCATAAAAATTAACAGAAAATCAATTTACAACACAAATGATGCGCTGATGAGGCGGCCCAAGTGCCAGGACTGGAGTTCATCCCGAAAACCATTCCGACTCTCTGTTGAGCTCTTGAGGCAGTTGTAAATATTTTCATTGCAATTGATGGCGTGCCTGTGATGTGAGCCGCCACGCCCCACGCCTCATGCTTTTGCTGGCCCCTGGGTTAACACTAGGGTTGATTCACGGGCAATATGAATATTTATGCTCGGTACTCAAAGCAGCAGAGGGGCATGCTGCAGAGCCATAAAGTACGAGTACGAGTACGTGCACGTGAAGGAAAAGCCAAAAAGTATCATCAGCCATTTCGATAAGCAATAAATCAATCTTTAGTAAGTTTTAAGCAGCAGCTAATTTCGGTAGCTCATGTCATATCATATGCGAAATGTCCGCCATTGAATGCCGGGTATCTTATTGTCGAAGCTCTCTCTGCTGGGTATTGTTGTGCGAGTATTGCTGCTATCGAGCGTGCTGATTGCCCATCAAAAAGCAAAGCCAAGGCCAAAGCCAAAGCAGCAGCAGGAGCAGCACAGCAAGAGATTTGCATAGAACACGGCACTAACCCCCCGCCCGTCCCATGCAAATCCCCTACTAATGCCAAAACGTTTCCCGGGCTCTTGGGTTTATTTTTTTTTCTTTTTCTTTCTTTTTCTGTAGTTGTGGCTGTAGCGTCAGCAGAACATAAAAATAGCGACGATTATGATGAAAATATTCATGCGACAAACGGAAGCCGTTGCCAGGTCCCATGCCACTCCCATGGCAGTAGCAGCAGCAGCAGGAGGGGCACTTGGGACTTGGGACGACTCCCCTGCACACACACATCAGAGTGTCTGCATTGGTGTGAGTTGTTTATGTGCCAACGATACACAGCACATTTGGATTCCACTTAAAGCGTCATCGCACATACACCGAGTGTTTGGCAAATGTGCAGAGGCATTGGCAGTGGCAAGGCAGTGGCAAGGCAGCGGCAGAGGCAGTGGCAGTGGCAGAGGCAGAGGCAGTGGCAAAGCCTTGGATACATGCTGTTCCTGTGAGATGGATACGCACGGGTATCCATGAAATCGCAGATCGAGTTCAATAGCACTTGAGAGAGCCGCAAAAACGCGCTTCAGGGCCTTCCATGCGAATGGATGAGCCAGAGCCAGAGGCAGAGCCAGAGCCATCCAAGGATGTCGCCGACGCTAATAAAGCAGCAGGCGTAATTAAATTTAATGCCAAAAATGCTCAGACAAAAGCCAAACGGGCATGACGCCAAGCCCCAAAAGGACCAAAATGTCTAAATCCAGGCATTGAAATTCAATTTACTACAAAATCCCATGCATCGACGAACGCCCAAACGACAAACGCCAGCGACATAGAAAATACTGGAAAATGTGTCTCGATTTGGGCAAATCCTGTCATAAATTTTGGGCACCCCACAGCCACATCCCCAGACCCCCAGACCCCCAGTCACAGCCCAGGGAGCAGGCAGCAGAACAGCTTTTGTTGCTGCAGACAAGACACCCAGACAACCCTAAGGAAAATATGCTGATGTCGATGCCGAATTATGATTTGTTTTTGTGTCGACTGGGTAGGAGCTAGGGAGCTGGAGCCAGAGTTATATACTATACTGATGCGGGGGGGGCAGACACTGGTGAAATGAGATTTGCCCTCAAGGTTAGCCAGCTACACGGACATGGGAGGGGACACACGTAAACTACTCACAACAACCAGTTGAGAGGCTCGTAAAAAGCACAAGGCACCTAAAAGCACACCCGGAGCACCCGTGCACAACCCATCACTCGTCGTAGAGCAGACCAGAAGCAGAAGCAGACCCAAAACACATCCTCGACTCGACCTCGCAAATTATAAAGTTGTTTGGCCAAAACTGCTGACTCTCCCGCGCCATGGCATGCCCATCCCATCCCATCCCATCCATGGCCCATTGGGCAAGTTTTCGGTGCTGTGCTGTGCTCTCCTTTTTGAAAAGTTCTGCACGTTTTATCTAACGCACATTGATAAGGATTTTTTGGCAGTCGTCGCATGATTTGCAAGTTTGCACAAAATGCTGCCCAGATCTACGAGTCGATGGACGTTTTGTGCAGACGTGGGCGAATATCGTGAGCGGAAATGTGATGACCTCTTGGCATAGTTTTCTCTTTTTTTTCGCATTTAAATTCCCACTTGTCAGAGATCCATCAGCACATGCTCGAGATGGACAGATGGTATTGGAAACAGGTGGCAACGAAATGGAATTCGGGTTTCCTGAAGGAAGGAGAAATCAATGCGCGTTTGCGCTGCATCTGTAACTACATTTTCTTTGAGGTAGCCGCAATCAAATCGTTTGATGTTATGGTTATTAAGCTCTGGTTGCTTTACTGTGGATACTCACTGTTCTTTTGAAAATCCTGCGACTCCTCGTCCGCCAGCGCCGCCCCGTTCAGCTGCAGGCAAATCAACAGTGTCAACATCCAGCCGACAACCCAAATCGTTCTGCCATTGTCCGCCAACGACATTCGAATTCGCAGCCACATCCACATGCACATCCACATGCACAGCGACGACCTCGACATGGACGTGCATCTCGTTCGTGTTTTTCGATGCGAATTGTGCGGTTGTTCTTTCGGTTGGCAATATGTTGAAGTAGTTTCCATTGATGATGGTGTTGCTCTGGTTTCTGATGTTCTGTTTGCTCTTGCAGTTGTCGCAGTCGCAGTCGCTGCTGTCGTTGCTGTTGCTGTTGCTGTTGTTGTTAATAAAAACTGCATGGCTGTCATTTCGTTTAGCTTGCGGTGCGTTGTGCCAAACGCGAGAACGTCTCGTCATTTATGTAACAAACTTCAATTTGACCAAAGTGTCAAAGAAACAAAAGTGCAAAAAAAAAGTGTAGCAGTTGCGTATATTGCCGCAGCACCAAAATTGACTGCAATTGTTGTCGTTGCTGTTGTTGTTGTTGTTGTTGTCGTGGTACATGTGCGCGGCTCTTCTGTCCGTTTTGTGTCAGTTTCAGTATCTGCGATGACGTGGCGCCAATAAACACACAGGTCCTGCGTTGTTATGGCTGCTCGAATGCTATTTCCTCTTCCGCTTCCGCCGTTTGGCTTGGCTTGGCTTTAATGAAGCGCCAATGTACTCTTTGGCTCAGAGTTGGACCATAAAAATAACATTTACGTATGCATGGCTGTTCGGTTCGCTGGACTTAGATCAGTTCGAGTTGCTTTTGGGCGCAGTTAAAGTTGCTTAAATCGAGCGACCCTTAATGTGCTTTTACATGTTTATTTGCGCTTTTATGGGCATTCGGATTTAAGACTGGTCCGCTGGTCCGCTGTAAATAGAAAAAAAAAGAGAAAATACCAAAACATGAGTAAATGCTGGTTTGCTGTGGTATGTGTGTGTGTCTGTGAGTGTTTCAGCAACCATTTTCTGTTGTTTTCCTCCTGCGTGCAGAAATATGAAAAATGCTAATAAAATTTTTATACATTGACTGGCATTGCGCATCCAGGCAAATTGAGCTCGTAAACGAATACGAATACAACAGCAACAACAAAAAGGGGGTAACCGATTCCACCAACGATCCCCCATGCACCACCATTTACATCCCTCAGAGGGGAATGCCCTTGGCTGACGCACTCCTCGAAATTGGTTGTTTTATGTGGCCATCGCATCGATGAAGTGTGATTAATGGCGCGTTTCGAGGGGCGACTCGTAATTAAGGCAGTAGATTTATGTCCAAAGCCACAGCTGAGGCATGACCTTTCCCTTACTTTCCTTTCCTCTCCTTTCTCCCTACAGAACTGAACACTTCTCCCCCTCAGATGTGTGCATCGGCCAATAAAAGCCAGCTCCCCATTGAGTGCTGCTTTATCACCTAACCAAATGTTGCTGCTGCGCCTTTTAATTGCGTGTTTTGGCCCCGTCAACGGCAACACGAGTGTCGACAATTAAACAAGGCATCAAAATTGATAAAACCAACCCCCGACCACGAACTCCGAACTCTGAACAGGGCAACGCGCATCCATCCCGTCCATCGAGTGGCCACCACTTTGGGTGTCATGGTTAGTTTGGCTTTGGGCTAATGGTGTTGCATTAATGGGGTGAAGAGGAGTCCGTACCCGATGCCTGGTTTACCCTTAACCCAGAAAGCGGCTCGGCTCTGCTCACATAATTATGCAACATTTTGTATCGGCAGCCATGCGACAACTGGGCTCCGTTCCCGATTCTGGGAGTACTTCTCCACCTCCACCTCTTACCTCTACCTCTCGTTCGTGTTTGTATTTGTGTTAGGCTGTTTTTAATGCGCCCCCGCCATTTGCAAAACCGCGCCGCCCCCCCTGCTCAATCTGTAAAAAACCCCCCCCCCCCCCCCTGGCTACTTACTTCTTTTTTTTTGTTTTTTTTTTTTTTTTTAGGGGGAGCAACTGCAAGACGGTGGCGTGTGTGTGTGAGGCGTGTGCAGGCAAGGATACTCGCACATAAATAAAATATAACTCACGCAAAAAAGTTCATAAATTTTTATGAACTTTCAACAGCCATGTTTGATGCTTTTTGATTAAAAGATAATACCTTTGGGGTGGGGTGGGATATGGTATGGGATGGTATGGGATGTGTGTGCCGAGTGTTCTTCCTGATGTTTCTGATGCCGACACTCCTCAGAGGGCGGCCCTCGCCCCCCACCCATGCATTGCTACATATCATTTTTACTATAGACCGCCCTCGCGCTCTCTTGCCTGCACATAAATTAACAAGATGTGTGCTGGGTGGGAGGGCAGGCAGAGAGGGCTATTGGCAGTCAAACTTTGCTCATTAGTAAATTTCAGAACAAGCCACATACGTACGCACGAAAGGTACATCTGTCGGCTGCAAGGGCTTGCTACTGCCTCTTCTTATGTCGTTCAGTTAGCATATTTTATTGCTGATTAATTAACTCGACTAAGGGAAGAGAAGAAACGAGAAAAATATTCTCGGAAGTGATTGCAGCAGCAGCAGCAGCAGCAACTGCGTTTGTTTATTGTGTAGGAAGCCTCTGGCCGGCATCAAACCTGAACTTTAATGACACCAAGTGGAAGATTTGCTAATTAAAAAAGTTTGTCGGTACTGTCGGCGTGGCGCAGTCAAAGAGCAACACGAGAAGGCCCGGCCAGGCCAGAGAAAAGTTAGTTGTTGCTGCTGGTGTGTGTGTGTGTGTGTGTGTGTGCCAAGTATCATGTAACTATTGACAACCATTGACGTGTGCCCTGGGCCTAGAGGAGCTGCCTTTAAGCCCCAGTAAGGAGTGGAGTGTCGGCCAACAGGGAATTAGTTGTTCAATTTATTAGGAATTTTGTGCCGAAAATAAAACAATTTGTCCCAATCGAATTAGCTTCTTTCTGTGCGTAACCTATTTTGGTAACTGCCAGCCGGCGGCTGTTTGTATGCTTATTTTCTTATTTGACTATTGATTGGTTTCTGCTCGGGTCAGCTGTTTTGTGGTCCCCCAAGATGGGGGCGGCTACAACATTTGCGGCCCACCTATCACCTGGACACCCAGACACGTGCGTCTCTGAAGATTTGAGCCTTGTCAAATTACTACAGCTACTCCATCATCGTTATGCGAGAGCCTTGCCGCATCTAACATCAGCCACATCCGCACCCATCCATCCATCCAACCAACAAACCATCCATCCAACCAACCATCTATACCCACTCAGGATGGGGCATCATCAAGGCTCACAAATTTATGGGCAAATGCTCAACTTTGCCATAAATGTTCATCATAATGTGACACAATTTCCTCAAGATTTAACGCCGCATAAAAACCCAAAGAACATTCCCATATGGTAATGGGGGACGGGCAATGCGACTGGGCGACTGGGACTGCTGCTGGGATTGAGTGTAAAAGAACGGGAACGGGAATGGGAATGGCTGTGGGAATGGGAATTCCATGGCCACGGCTCATGGCCCCGGCCCCGACCCCGGTCCCTGCCTCATGCATTGTGAAATTCGCATGCTCAATAAAGTCAAAGACGCATAACTCTCTGGCTAAGGAGCGGGCGACGCGGAGCAGCGGCAAAGCTGAAAGCTGGCAGCTGGCATAAATTTCAAAATAAAATATAAATAATATATATAATATGGTGTATAAATTCAGCTGCAGTCAGTCAGTCAGTCAGCGCATGCAGCCGACAGATAGACGCTGTGCGAATTTAACAGACAGTCCCTTATCAGGCGACACGGAGGAGGATATTATGCTGCGAAGGACTGCTGCGATTTCAGGGCTTTAAGCAGGGCGCGACAACAATCCCTTTCGCTGGCTCACTCTACTTGGTGTGTGTGTGTCCGTGTGATATATCATAAGCATGCGTCTGACAAGCATAAGCACCGCTGCTGTCACTGTCACAGAAGCAGCAACAGCAGCAACAGCAGCACCAGCAGTCTCTTCTCTCTCCCCTGCCGCTGTCTACTTCGCCATTCAACTGCTCTTCGGCGTCGACGCGTGTTATTACACCACGCGGCATACTTTTAGCGCCACTCAAAGGAAGATTTCCCTTTCATAGTGTGCGTGTCTGTGCTTGTGCTTGTGTATTTGTGTGTGTGTGTGTGTAAATAAAAGTTGAATTATGACAAAGGCATGCAGGCAGCAGAAGCAAACATCAACATGCAGGAAATATTATTGGCGAGGACGAAGCAATTGATGCTCTTTCCGATGGAAGCCATAAGAGACTTTGGCCATGACATATGAATCTGACACTCTCTGTACACTTGGTACCGATCAAGAGCTTAATAAAAAATCTTTCGATTTGGATACTTCTTCTGTCTCCGCGTTTCAAGGCCCCCTGCAAAATCAGGATACCTTGTGAAATGGAGGTACTGTAACAAAAGCAACCTGCCTGCCTGCCTGCCATCCATGGGCTGATAATGCGCTCTTCGGCGAATTCCTTCGGCCTGACTGCGAGCGTGTGTTTGCCTGCATGTGCGTGCGAGACGTTTAACATGTCGTATGCGCAATTTGTGAAATATGCGAGAACAGTGCCTGGCAGCATGAGCAATAAGTTTTGCTCTCCTTTGTGCTCTTCTCGATTCTCTGCTGTTTGTGTGGAAGTAAGCAATTAGTTGCCTTTTTAGCTGCAAGAAAAGCAAGTCACACAAGAAGGAGAACGTGTGAGCGGAAGAGTGGGAAGCGTGGGAGGAGGATAAGCAAACAGCAGCTCATTAATATCCTTTATGCGTTTATTACATCAGCAGCCGGCATCTTATGAAAAAACATAAATTAATGCAGAACACTGCCACCGGCCTGCCATCCAAGCAGCAACAGCAGCAGCGGCAGCAGCAGCAAGCGGAACGGCCAGAGAAAATGCCAATTAGGCCGGCAAAAAGGGAAAATCGGCGCGTGCATGGAAACCAAATCAATCAGACAATTCAATATAATTGTCCTAATTTATTTACCCAGCTCGAGGGCTTTGCTGTTATTTTTCGCAAGATAATTGGCAATACCACGACATCAAGCAGCAGGACAGCAGGCGAGCAGGCGAGCAGGAGAGCAGGACAGCAGACAGACAG